GGCCAATTTCCCTCCTCGAAGTACCAGGTAAAATATTCGAAAAAATTATCAATCAGAGACTTGTGAAGTACATGGAAGAGGAAGGGAAGTATAACACCAGGCAGCATGGGTTTAGACAGCAGAGGGGCCCATACAGCTATAGCCCTGATCTACCAGCATATGGGCCCATACAGCTATAGCCCTGATCTACCAGCATATAGCAGAGGGGCCCATACAGCTATAGCCCTGATCTACCAGCATATAGCAGAGGGGCCCATACAGCTATAGCCCTGATCTACCAGCATATAGCAGAGGGGCCCATACAGCTATAGCCCTGATCTACCAGCATATAGCAGAGGGGCCCATACAGCTATAGCCCTGATCTACCAGCATATAGCCAACGCAGTGTCGAAAAAAGATCAGTGTAATATAGTGCTTAGGGACGTCTCGAAAGCCTTCGACAAAGTGTGGCACACAGGCCTAAAATATAAGATATCTGAACTAGGGCTTCCTGAGAGATTTACTGCTACTCTCTGCAGCTTTATAGACAATAGAACTGCTAGGCTTAATATCGGCAGCTACTTGGGTGACGTAATAGAACTGAAAAGTGGAGTACCACAAGGAAGCTGCCTCTCCCCCACTCTATTCAACATATATACAGCTGACCTACCCCAACCCCAACATGGAGAATACATCACATACGCTGACGATGTCACCCAAATAATATGCCAACCGGGACCATCAAAGCCGCTACTAGCCGACAAGACCAAGGCAGCAATTGAACTCATAAACAACTTTGAGAAGCAATGGAAAATTAGCACCAACAAACAAAAGTTTCAGATAATACACATTGCGAAAAGAAACCCGGACCCCATCATCCTTGACAACCATCCGATCCAATATGCGGAGGTAGGCAGAATACTGGGACTTATGATAAATAGAACAGGGATACAAATTCATGTAAGGGACCGACTAAACAAAGCCAAAGCAGCATTAGGAAAACTGAGAAGATTCCGAAGCCTCAGTACTAACATTCAGATCCACCTATATAAGGCTCTAGTTCGGCCGCATCTAGAGTATCCCCCAGTACCACTACACACCATAAAGAAAACTAACATGCAGAAACTGCAAGCAGTACAAAATAAGGCGCTAAGGAGAGCAGCAAAACACCGTCCACCATATGATCAGACAATCCAGGAGCTCCACGAACTCCTGAACATACAGCCACTAAACATCAGACTGCAGCACCAAGCCATCAGGGTGTGGAACACCATCGAAATGTTAGAGGACCCAATGTTTGAAAGATTACTCCAAGATGAGACGCCCCGCTCCCACAGCTGGTGGCCCAAGAGCCTCGATTCTCTGGACGAAAACCCCGCCCCACAGTATATAATTCCCAGATGAGTTATATATGGAATACAGACAATATGTATGTATGAACAACTCGATAAATAATATGTATGACAACTCGATAAATAATAATAATAAAATAAAGAGCATTAAACAGAATAACGTGTGTGGAAGCATCGGAGTGTGTATATATGAAAGCTACACAGTATTCATCTATGGACATCCACATATGGTGAAACACATGTGAAGAACCTCTCACACACTCACAGCTCCCTGACAAGAGGGAGCCAGCTTAGATTAGCTGCCAACACCCACACATCGTGTCAGCAAGGCGGACAGCCCGCCTGCTTTCATACCTCTCACTGTATTTCCCACTTCTATACTTCCCTTCACCTATGCCTCTCCTTCCTCTTTACTCCCCCCCCCTCAAAAAAAAAGGGGGAGTGGGGGCAGAGACGGATGGGAAGTAAGGGGGGGGGGAAGAAGGGATAGTGAGGATCGTGGAGATAGGTGAGAGGGGGGGGGGGTATAGGAAGGATATAGAGAATTGCCAATATAAGGGTGGTCGAGGTATAAGCTAATGAACACACACTGGCTTCCTGTCCCCCAACACACTTAATGAATTATTATATAACGGTACATATTGGGCCGTCCCCATCCCGTGCTCAGACTAAGCACGTCCAAGCCTCGCCCGACCTCAAGTCCGCACTGGTCAACTTGGACTTAGTGTATATTTTGCTTATATTTTCCTGAATATAAATAAATATTATCACGTATTGCACTGTTGTAAATTAGGTCTAGAACACGTCCGTTACGTGTTAAGGTTCTGTTGGTGATTATCTGCGCTTGTACGTGGGAGATTATCTGCGCTTGTACGTGGGAGTTTATCTGCGCTTGTACGTGGGAGATTATCTGCGCTTGTACGTGGGAGTTTATCTGCGCTTGTACTTGGGAGATTATCTGCGCTTGTACGTGGGAGATTATCTGCGCTTGTACGTGGGAGATTATCTGCGCTTGTACGTGGGAGATTATCTGCGCTTGTACGTGGAAGATTATCTGCGCTTGTACGTGGGAGATTATCTGCGCTTGTACGTGGGAGATTATCTGCGCTTGTACGTGGGAGATTATCTGCGCTTGTACGTGGAAGATTATCTGCGCTTGTACGTGGGCGAAGCATCCAGAGTGGCGCAACTCGATCACAGGAAGAGAGTGCAGCGCCGATTAAGAACTCATCTACTCTAGTCAACTACAAGTCATGGGTAGAGTGGGTTTTCCTTTTGCAGTTGCATGGGTTTGCAAGAGCAAGGTATGAAAATGAGGTTGAAATGCGAATATTTGCACACACACAGCCTGGTTGATCAGTCCAGCAACCAGGAGGCCTGGTCGACGACCGGGCCGCGGGGACACTAAGCCCCGGAAGCACCTCAAGGTAACCTCAAGGTAACACCCGTAAACACCTAACTCGGTCGACCCCCTAGACCTTTCTATACACATTGATTTCTTATTCAATGTTAGCATTAATTTATATGAGAAACTACTTTTTCTCCAACTCACTTTGTAACTAGCTCATCAAGATTGTAACTTGCTTAGCTAAATGAATTGTGGGGTTGAGTCCCTGAGCCCATTATGTGCCTCTGTAACCCTTTCCACTACCGCCCACAAGATGGGTATGGGGTGCATAATAAATGAACTAAACTAACCAAATTCCCCAATTCAATCCGGCATAATTCACGAACGCGTCTTGGGGTCGGGAGGAGCTTGGACAAGCACAGGATGAAGATGGCTAGGGTCGGGAGGAGCTTGGGCAAGCACAGGATGAAGAGGGCTAGGGTCGGGAGGAGCTTGGGCAAGCACAGGCTAAGGAAGAGTTATGAGTTTACCATTAAGAGGTAAACACCACTTTCCAAATATTTTGAACTCAAATATAACAATATTCAAACCAAAGTTCACGAATTTGACGTTTCAAGTAAACTTATATTTCCCCACAGTCCCTGACCACTGTGACAGCTTGCTCAGGTCCTTCTCGACGTTGTGTGGATACAAGACATCCCAACACAAACACCTGAGACACACCTGAGACACACCTGGACAAAATAACATCAGCCACACATGTGAAGCTGGCACACATTACAACGACATTAACAAACAAAGATAAGGTCACTTTTAAGATAATCTAGACATGTTCTTGAGGCTAATACCAGAATACGCAGCACCGGCTTGGGATCCGAATTTCGTGAAAAGGAAACTTGATATGAAACTGTGCAGAGGCGTGCAATTAGACTCGTGCAGAGGCGTGCAATTAGACTCGTGCAGAGGCGTGCAATTAGACTCGTGCAGAGGCGTGCAATTAGACTCGTGCAGAGGCGTGCAATTAGACTCGTGCAGAGGCGTGCAATTAGACTCGTGCAGAGGCGTGCAATTAGACTCGTGCAGAGGCGTGCAATTAGACTCGTGCAGAGGCGTGCAACTAGACTCGTGCAGAGGCGTGCAACTAGACTCGTGCAGAGGCGTGCAATTAGACTCGTGCAGAGGCGTGCAATTAGACTCGTGCAGAGGCGTGCAATTAGACTCGTGCAGAGGCGTGCAATTAGACTCGTGCAGAGGCGTGCAATTAGACTCGTGCAGAGGCGTGCAACTAGACTCGTGCAGAGGCGTGCAACTAGACTCGTGCAGAGGCGTGCAACTAGACTCGTGCAGAGGCGTGCAACTAGACTCGTGCAGAGGCGTGCAACTAGACTCGTGCAGAGGCGTGCAACTAGACTCGTGCAGAGGCGTGCAATTAGACTCGTGCAGAGGCGTGCAATTAGACTCGTGCAGAGGCGTGCAACTAGACTCGTGCAGAGGCGTGCAACTAGACTCGTGCAGAGGCGTGCAACTAGACTCGTGCAGAGGCGTGCAACTAGACTCGTGCAGAGGCGTGCAACTAGACTCGTGCAGAGGCGTGCAACTAGACTCGTGCAGAGGCGTGCAACTAGACTCGTGCAGAGGCGTGCAACTAGACTCGTGCAGAGGCGTGCACCTAGACTCGTGCAGAGGCGTGCACCTAGACTCGTGCAGAGGCGTGCAACTAGACTCGTGCAGAGGCGTGCAACTAGACTCGTGCAGAGGCGTGCAACTAGACTCGTGCAGAGGCGTGCAACTAGACTCGTGCAGAGGCGTGCAACTAGACTCGTGCAGAGGCGTACAACTAGACTCGTGCAGAGGCGTGCAACTAGACTCGTGCAGAGGCGTGCAACTAGACTCGTGCAGAGGCGTGCAACTAGACTCGTGCAGAGGCGTGCAACTAGACTCGTGCAGAGGCGTGCAACTAGACTCGTGCAGAGGCGTGCAACTAGACTCGTGCAGAGGCGTGCAACTAGACTCGTGCAGAGGCGTGCAACTAGACTCGTGCTGAGGCGTGCAACTAGACTCGTGCAGAGGCGTGCAACTAGACTCGTTCGTGTAGTAGGTGAACTACAATACCTGGACAGGTTAAGTAAGCTCAATCTTTCAGCCAATGAGGAGAGAAGCAGCAGAAGAGACGTGATCACTACATACAGAATACTGAGAGGCAAGGATTAATTTAGGTTAAGAAGAGGCCGTGTAAGCCACCTCCACCCAAAAAAAAAAAAAACGACCAGATATGACAAAGAACTCGACAAAAATACAATAAAATGCAATATAGGGACAACATGGCTAGAATAGTCAAGGCATGAAGAGCTTAACCTGACTCCTCGCAGTCACTGTTAGGTAAATGTTTAGTAGGCGAGCACAGTTAACCGCCTTAAGGAACACCACTTGTAACCATCAGTCATTCTATGGCTCTACCGTTCAAGAGGACTGAGCGTCTGCTTCCAGCCCCTGGGCGGCCAGCCCCTGGGCGGCCAGCCCTTGGACGGCCAGCCCCTGGACGGCCAGCCCCTGGACGGCCAGCCCCTGGGCGGCCAGCCCCTGGGCGGCCAGCCCCTGGACGGCCAGCCCCTGGGTGGCCAGCCCCTGGGCGGCCAGCCCTTGGACGGCCAGCCCCTGGGCGGCCAGCCCCTGGGCGGCCAGCCCCTGGGCGGCCAGCCCCTGGGCGGCCAGCCCTTGGACGGCCAGCCCCTGGGCGGCCAGCCCCTGGACGGCCAGCCCCTGGGCGGCCAGCCCCTAGACGGCCAGCCCCTGGGCGGCCAGCCCCTGGACGGCCAGCCCCTGGACGGCCAGCCCCTGGACGGCCAGCCCCTGGACGGCCAGCCCCTGGGTGGCCAGCCCCTGGGCGGCCAGCCCCTGGGCGGCCAGCCCCTGGGCGGCCAGCCCTTGGACGGCCAGCCCCTGGGCGGCCAGCCCCTGGGCGGCCAGCCCCTGGACGGCCAGCCCCTGGACGGCCAGCCCCTGGGCGGCCAGCCCTTGGACGGCCAGCCCCTGGGCGGCCAGCCCCTGGACGGCCAGCCCCTGGGCGGCCAGGCCCTGGGCGACCAGCCCCTGGGCGACCAGCCCCTGGGCGGCCAGCCCTTGGACGGCCACCCCTGGACGGCCAGCCCCTGGGCGGCCAGCCCCTGGACGGCCAGCCCCTGGACGGCCAGCCCCTGGACGGCCAGCCCCTGGACGGCCAGCCCCTGGGCGGCCAGCCCCTGGACGGCCAGCCCCTGGGCGGCCAGCCCCTGGACGGCCAGCCCCTGGGCGGCCAGCCCCTGGGCGGCCAGCCCCTGGGCGGCCAGCCCTTGGACGGCCAGCCCATGGGCGGCCAGCCCCTGGACGGCCAGATGTGGCATGTTGCTTCGGATCTACCTTGAGAATGTTTTCATGCGGGGCTGGACCAAAGAACTTCTCTGTGGACGGTAGGATGGTTGTGCAGCATCTCGGGGGACATGTTTTTACAATGTGTAATGATGAGAGTCAAGCCGTCTGGAACCTGCAGAAATTATATAACCATTGTAATATTACTAGTAATTATTAGAGGGAGAGAGAGAGGGAGAGAGAGAGAGAGAGAGAGAGAGAGAGAGAGAGAGAGAGAGAGAGAGAGAGAGAGAGAGAGAGAGAGAGAGAGAGAGAGAGAAAAATATTATTCACCTAATTATACTTGCCTAATTGTGCTTGAAGGACGGATCATTACAACCTGGAACACCTGAATTAGAGCATTTCTAAAGGGAGGGGGGGGGGGGATGGCAACGGGGAGGGGGGGGGATGGCAACGGGGAGGGGGGGGGAGGGTAGGCACTGGATAGACGAAGCTAAGACTAGCTTAAGGCCAGCCAGAGGATTATCTACTGCGCACCTTGGACACCTGGCTAGGTTCCGCCCCTTGCACCTTAATACCTCTCAAGGTCACCACTGCTCAAGGTGCGCACTGTGTCTTGAGAAACACACCATATATGATCACACACACGCACACGCACGCACACTCACGCAGGTGCATTGACCTTTGAGTATCTTCCATTCGTTCAGGAGAGGTTATCTTGAGATGATTTCGGGGCTTTAGTGTCCCCGCGGTCCGGTCCTCGACCAGGCCTCCACCCCCAGGAAGCAGCCCGTGACAGCTGACTAACACCCAGGTACCTATTTTACTGCTAGGTAACAGGGGCATAGGGTGAAAGAAACTCTGCCCATTGTTTCTCGCCGGCGCCTGGGATCGAACCAAGGACCACAGGATCACAAGCCCAGCGTGCTGTCCGCTCGGCCGACCGGCTCGGAGGGTACAGGAGCCAGACAGGTGGCCGGAACAGGACATTTTGTATCAGTTAATTATAGAATACAGCTCTGTGGAACGTTCCCGCAAGGTCAGGAGGATTGATTGATGAAGATTAAGCCACCCAAGAGGTGGCACGGGCAGGAATAACCCGTAATAGTTTAGGTTACGCTAGACTTTACTCGCGTACACATCCTGGGGGGGTCAGGTGTTAAACTTGTCCCCGTTAATAAAGACAACGAAAGACTTGTGTGTGTGTGTGTGTGTGTGTGTGTGTGTGTGTGTGTGTGTGTGTGTGTGTGTGTGTGTGTGTGTGTGCGTGTGTGTGTGTGTGTGTGTGTGTGTGTGTGGTCAGTATACAAGAAACTCGATGGTGAGAAACACAGGGCCCAAGAGCTAACAACTCGATCCTGCAGACATAAACTAGTAAATACACACACGCACAGGTGAGTACAGACCTACGCACGCGCGCGCGCGCACTGACCTCCACAAGGACGCATTTGGCGAGGCGTCACCAGTGGAGTCCCACAAGGTTCAGTCCTTGGACCTATCCTGTTTCTGGTATATGTAAATGATTTCCCAGAGGGTTAAGACTCGTTTCTATCATTGTTTACTGATACGAAAATTATGAGGAGGATTAAGTCAGAGGAAGACAGTATGAGGCTACAAGATGACCTAGACAAACTGAAGGAATGGTCCAACAAATGGCTACTGAAGTTCAACTCGAGTAAATGTAAGGCAATGAAGCTAGGTGGAGGGAACAGGAGGCCAGACACAAGGTACAAAATGGGAGACGAGGTGTTCCGGGAAGCGATCAGAGGGAAGAACCTAGGAGTTGATATCACTCCTGAAGCTCACATAAAATGGAAATTATCAGCGGCGTATGCGAGGCTGGCTAACTATATTTGGCTAAGTAGCTGGATATCAGAATTGCCTTTAAGTGTAAGGATTCATTTAGAACCTTGTATACCACATCTGTAAGACCAGTCCTGGAGTATGCAGTTCCAGGATGAAGTCCATACCTTGTCAAGCGTAAGACGATGTTGGAGAAGGTCCAAAGGTATGCCACTAGACAAGTTCCAGAGCTAAGAGGCATGAGTTACGAGGAAAGGCTGTGTGAATTGCACTTCAAGTTATTGGAAGACAGAATAATTACGGAAGGCATGATTATTACGTACAAAATACTCGGGGTAATTGACAGGGTAGATAAGGACATTATTTAACACAGGTGGTACTCGAACAAGGGGACACAGGTGGTACTCGAACAAGGGAACACAGGTGGTACTCGAACAAGGGAACACAGGTGGTACTCGAACAAGGGAACACAGGTGGTACTCGAACAAGGGAACACAGGTGGTACTCGAACAAGGGGACACAGGTGGGACGCGAACAAGGGGACACAGGTGGTACTCGAACAAGGGGACACAGGTGGTACTCGAACAAGGGGACACAGGTGGTACTCGAACAAGGGGACACAGGTGGAAACTGAGTACCCAAATGAGGCACAGGGACGTTAGAAAGAACTTTCAGTGTCAGAGGAGTTAACAAATGGAATTCATTAAGCAGTGAATTTTTTTTTTAATTATTATTTTCTACCACAGACATGGCCACACATTTACAATGCTAACCAGCATATATACATTTTCTTCTGTCCTCCATGGACAGGGTTAGAGAAGTGTTAAACATATAGTTCAAGGGTTTATTGAACACTCAACCACAGGTGATTCGGTGCTTTTAAAATGCTAAGCTAACCTACATACGTAAATACATAGATACAGATTTACGTACGCCCTACATAAAGTGTTTGATGTGTCTTTTACATAGTGTCATTAATGTGCATTTACAAAGGTGAAATGTAATTCTGATCAGCTTCCATATATACTTTATACACATACATATACACACACACACACATATACGTACATATACATATATACATACATATATATACACACACATGCATTCACATACATTTGTCTCTTTTACTCTGACAGGGTGAGGTAGCTGATAGAGAAACTAGTGTGCAATTAAGCACTTAATCACTGAAGGTGATTAAGGTGCTTTTACAAGCTCAGGTTATATAGTTACATCACATACATACATTGTATAATTGATACATTACATGGTCAATCTTGGGTACAAGTCCAATAAATCATCAAGTGTTCCAGTACTCGTATAGTAATTACACAGTTCAGCATACCTTAGCCCAGGAGGGCGAAGGAGGAGCCCAGTAGGCTCAGGAACCTGTTGACTGACAGTTGAGAGGCGGGACCAAAGAGCCAGAGCTCAACCCCCGCAAACACAACTAGGTAAGTACAACTAGGTATGTACACACACACGTACACACACACACGCACGCACGCACACACACACACACACACACACACGCACACACACACACACACACACACACACACACACACACACACACACACACACACACACACACACACACACACACGCACGCACGCGTACACACACACACACACACACACACACACACACACACACACACACACACACACACACACACACACACACACACACACACACACACGCACGCACGTACGTACGTATACACACACGCACGCACGGACACGCGATCCCCAATACTCGTGCAGAAGCACATATGAATATCAAGCGTATGGGGCAGCTTGGGGCAAGGATTGGGACGTGTGTGGGCGCTGTGGGGTGGAGTGTGGGTCAAGTATGGGGCTGGGGGCAGGCAGACAGTGGGTGTGGGCGAGGCGTGGGTTGTATGAAGAGACAGTGGGGTTTAATGGGTATACTGTCTGGGCGGAAGATGGAAAGGCTTCGCATGAGTGGAGGCAATTTGGGCGCCTTAGTCCCAAATTGCATTTATGCCCCTCCCCCTCCCCCCCTTCCTCCCTCAGAGTCTGTATATGTTTGTTTTTTGTTGGGGGGGGGTTGAAAATGTATTGTGGGGGGGGGGGGGGGGAGGGAGGGGGGAGTCCGTTGTGTCTTGGGTGGGGTGTGGGTTTTGTGGGGCAGAGTGTGGGTGCTCCGCCTAGATATACCGGCATCCGCTGGGTGGCGAGTGGAGGAGATAGTGGGTTGAGACCCATGAATGAGGGTAGTGTGTGTGAGGTCAGTGAGGCGAGGAATGAGGGAGTGAGGGAGATAGGGAGAGGAATGTTCACTAGCCGTCTATGAAGGTGTTTAAAATAAATAGAATTCTCTCCCCTCTCTCTCTCTCTCTCTCTCTCTCTCTCTCTCTCTCTCTCTCTCTCTCTCTCTCTCTACACACATGTCAATGATCACACAAGAAGGAGAAGGCTGTAGACTGACTGCATTATCCTCGACTGACAGAAAGTCTTCGACACTCTTCCGGAGCAACTGGAGGTGTGTATTCATCTAGTTGTATTTACCTATTTGTTCTTGCGGGGGTTGAGCTCTGCTCTTTCGGCCGACTCTCAACTGTCAAACTGTAACTACTAACTATTTTTTTCCCCCCCACACACACACACACACACCCAGGAAGCAGCTCCGTAACAGCTGTCTAACTCCCAGGTACCTACTTACAGCTAGGTAACAAGGGTGAACAGGGGCATCAGGGGTGAAGGAAACACTGAAGTGTATGTAACTGAGTGTGAGTGTCTGTAACACGGGAAGGAAAGAGTAACAGGGAGACTACAGGATGAACAACCCAGCGGGTTTTCTTCCTATTGGGGAGTGTTGTACATGCTGCTATGGCGGTGTGTCCACTCACAAGATGAGTGGCGCTGCCCAATAAACTCGCCCTTCGGGGCAAAATTTAAAAAAATTTAAAAATTTTGGACAAGTCAGAGAGGAGTGAAGAAACAAGCGGAGTGCCACAAGGGTACTAGTTAGACCCAACCTGTTTTTAATGTAAATTATAACTCTGCGAAGTAGGATCCTCCGTGTTACATAAGCAGGCGATGAGTCACAATAACGTGGCTGAAGTATGTTGACCAGACCACACACTAGATGGTGAAGGGACGACGACGTTTCGCTCCGTCCTGGACCATTCTCAAGTAGATTGTGAGAATGACATCCCCCCCCCCCCACAATCGACTTGAGAATGGTCCAGGACGGACCGAAACGTCGTCGTCCCTTCACCTTCTTGTGTGTGGTCTGGTCCTCCATGTTAGTTTTTGCTGAATGACAGAGACGAG